CTGCGTCCCGGCACCGCGCTGGGAGCGCGCAGGACGTGCTGCAGCCCTGCGCCGAGCCTGCCCGCAGCCAGGGCAGGGCTCGGCCCCAGGTTACGCACCGCCTGGTACCTGGCAGAGACCAAGCCTGGGGTCTGAGCGGGAATTGTAAGAAGGAGTGTTTCTCATGCAAACTTTGTGTATTCAGGCAAAGCTGTAACACAGAACAATCGTGGTGCTGCTGGAGGGGACCTCCGGTGCGTACGCACGGCCACCCACCTTTTAAAGATGCAGATGCACTTACTTTTCATTTAAGAGCTCTGTAGGAGACTCAGCTCCACCCTCCCCTCGTCGCGCAGCGAGACGCCGCACGGAGCCCCTGAACCTCCTCCAGGCAGATGCGACTGGTGAAGGACTACGCTATCGCACCTCTGGAAAGGCCAGGAGCCGCGCGGGTTACCGAGAGCGCCCCTGCAGCAGGGCGCCGCAGCGGCTGAGGCCAAGGACATGGCCAGCAAGTGGATGCGCTGCCTGGCCGGGGCAGCTTTGGACACCATGAAGGAGAGCAGGCCGTGGTGCGGCTGGGGATCCGTGCTAGCTCTGCTTCCCGGCAAAGCCCTGCTGCCCTCGCTCCCACCCAAAGACAGCAGCAACCTGCGCGTGATGCAGGTTCAGCCAGCGCCTTGGCGCTGGCCACGGGAAGACAGCGACCCTGCGCTCATCTACCATGAAACAACTAGAAGCAATTTTATGAAGCTGAAATGAGCTGCAAAGAATATCTGAGGACAAGGCACAGAGAGACTCACCGTTCCTCCAAGTTTTAGCTGGGGAATGGTGTTCTTTCAGTTTGCGCACTGCAGAGAGAAGGGAGAGGGCAGCGAACTGGAGATTTATAACCAATGCATAGCCCAGGACCAGTTCTTTCTATGTGTTCTAGATGTTCTGAGCGTAGTAAGTCCTCTTGCCTTTAATTTTCAGTGTTATTTCCTTCATCTGTTATCTTTGTGCTTGGTGTGCTAGAGAATAAAGTACTGCTAGCTGATAAATCTTCACTTTGAGAGATGTAGCAGAGAAAGTCTAACTGAACTCTCCAGCTGCAAGCCAGCCACACAGCAACAAAGCGAAAACACCAGCAAAACAACCAGCTCTGCAGTCATTTAAGAATCTCTAGGTCAACCAGTCTTAAAACACAAAAAGGGAACCAGCAGTTCAGTGAAACATTTCTTTCGTTCACCGTACTGCAACTAGAGACCAGGAAACGCACCATCATGACACTTCCCCAGCCGCCCACAGCCCAGCAGCGTTACAGGGCAGCGGCTTCACTTCGGCGAAACGCTGCGGAAGCGGCCGGCTTGGCAGCGCCCGGCGGCGCGCTGGGGTGGGAGCGCGCAGCAGAGGAATAACCCGGCTTCGCTTTTCAGTAAAGCCCGCGGTGTAAAATACCTGCTTGAGGCGCTTCGAGCGCTCGCCAGTAGCTTCGGCAGCCAACGTGTGCCCTCACCGCGGTTTTATACCCAAGGTCCTCTGCACCAAAGGCACCGCCAGGCACCTGGCCCCTGCTGCCCCTGCAGTTGCGCATTTCCCCTGCAGTCTGCCCAAAATCGTTAGAGCAACTCACTGTCATCACAGCAAAGGACTGAGAGATAGAGTTACTGCGTAAACTTCTGCAGGGTAACGCATGCAAACAGAAGAAGTGTTTTTCTCTGTGGAGGGCTCTCCTGAGCCCTGCGGAGGGCTGGATCTAGAAGCTCCTCAACAGGAGGCCTAAGCCATGCTCACCTTGGCTCCCGAAGACGACCTGCAGCACCTGCCTGCTACAGCATCCCTGGAGACGAAGCGCCGGGGTTCACGCAAGCTCTCCTGACCTGAGGTGGAGCGTGCTGTGACCAGCAGTCTGAAAAGACGCACTGAAACGCTCAGAAAGTGAGAATACAACTCCTCTTGCAAAAGGAAATACAGTCTTGTTAAAGGGGATGGGACTGGGGTGCAGGTTCGACGGTGAACGCTCGCAGCCCGGCTAGCCGTGCCCCCTGCGGCGCCCAGCCCTGCTAGCAGAGACGTCCTCGAAGAGCCCTGAAATAACTCATGTCTAAGAAGGTCCCGGGAGCCAAAGCTCTGCTGAACCATCCAGCAGATGATGCGAAGGCTTTTAAGGCTCATTCATTAGAGCACATTAGCTGCTGAAATCTAACAGCACCTCTTTTATCCCAGTCTAGTGGCCTTAGTGCTGGTGCCCCCCGCTGCTGCCTCCCTGCTCCCAGGCTCCGCTGCCGCTCCTGCTCCAGCGGACGGACAGAGGGCGAAGTGGAGAGGAGGGCAGCGCGAAGGCACCAGCGCGTGCACACCTCGGACCTAGCGCAGCAGTGGACGAGAGGAAGCCAGGAATGGACAGAGAGAATTTAGACTGGCGCCGCTGCCCTCCAAATAAACAGCAACACTGCAATGCCAAAAATAAGAGCTCGTACCTATTTTATGGGAAAAGGTGCTGCAAGAGCCTTCCCTTTCGGCTAGGGAAACAACGGAGCTATGGCTTATTTGGCGACTGGTGACACTGTGCAGCTGGATGCTCGAGGCAACCATGGGCAGAGCTGGCAGTGCTGCAGGCTCCGCACAGGCGCTGGGTCCCCTCTCCTGCAGCGCCCAGCAGCAGGCACATTTTTAGATCTGTAAATTAAGACGATTCGCCTGTATACGTATTTTTTGCAAAAAGAAATATTTTTCCACGCTCCTGGTTAAGCATACGCAGCAGTCGTATTTGGATTGCCACCAGTCAGATTTTTTGCTCGACTGCAGAGCGCCTCATTACTGCAGTTTATGCATGCTGAGAAACGGGGCAGAGCGAGCCAGCCACACGCACGGCGCAGAGCCGAAACTGAACTCAGAGGCATGTGAATTTACATGTGTGAGCCCTGCCAG